GATGGAGTGAGTGACAAGCTAAAAAGGTTACTGTGTCACTGGTTATTTACACAACGGTATGTACCACACCCAGCTACGCAACCACGTAAGGGCATCATTCCATTCCCCCGAGCTAAGTACAGGACTGGAAAACTGGACCGAGAACTCCCATTAGTGTTCATGGGTAACACACGGGGGAAAGAAATGCATTATTCTGAATTGACAATAAGGTTAGATAGTCCGAAAACACTATAAGGTCCGATAGTCCAAATTGACAATAAGGTCCGATAGTCCGAATCAACAGTAAAGTCCAATAGTCCGAAGAGTCAGACTGACAAACTGTTTTGCCCATTCGGACTATCGAACCTTATTCTCAATTCGGACTGTTGAACCTTATTGGCAATTCGGACTATCGAACATTATCATCTATTCGGACTATCGAACCTTATTGTTTATTCAGACTATCGAGCCCTATCGTCTATTCGGACTATCAAACTTTCGGATTAATTAGCCTTATTCTATTTTCAGACTAATGGGCCCTTCAGACTAGCGAACCTTCGGACTATCGACCCTTCAGACTATCGGGCTGTAACCGGTAAGGGACCCTGGGAATAAATGTGCAAGTTGGCAATTTACAATAAACGGGTAAAATACAGGAACTATAAAAGACAACAATAAGATTGGGTACTTCGTGGACAGAGTGAAACCACAGGGCGCTAGATTTCCATAATCAAGCATTATAGGTTCACAACAACATGCATTACCAGGTGGTAATATACAACTACAACATGGTTTGTTGGGAAATAGTATACAAGTATTGAGTGGCTCAGTGTGGAACAGGAGGAATATTATCGCAAAGTAAAATCGGGACTTTTCCATTTCACAAGATGAAGCCGAGTGAACTGGAAAAGTAGATTTTTACCAAGCGATAATATTCCTCCAATTTCACAATTTAAAGCCAGTCAATATCTGTTTTATATAACTGACATAAAGATCCTTGTCATTTGATATTTGAACTTTTATTTCAATACAAAATTGGTGGGAAATGTATTTCTCTCTTGCAAACCATCCCTTCACGAAAATGTTTAAACCCAACGCTGTAGCGCTGGCTCTTTGGAACAATACATGCTACACCAGCATGCATTTGCACACAAATACCGCGTCATGGAACAAGAATGATCCTAACTGTTCAATGGTATTTCCCATTCCCCATGGGCGAATGAGACTTTTTGAGCCCCGGCGTGAATGGGAGTATCACCATGATAAAATATCATGTTTTATATTTACTGTGTAAGTTGTATAAGTTGACCTTCTAGGAACAGGACCACTTTCCTGGTAATGAGACACATCTAAGGAATAGCCAGTTTAGCCACAAGGTCCGCGCATGGGTAGATGCTGGGCTGTACCATGGCGATTCAGCCCACGGACTTATAAGGAAATCCGATTGTTCTATTAATTTGCCAATATTAAGCCCTGCCCCCAGATACAAGTTGACCTAACACTTTCAATTCTGTAATATTAATATTCAATAGTTAGTGAACGATTCCTAATAAGGCAAGAAACCTGTAAGATAGCTGTAAGATTGGAATGTTCATTTACTGTATAAAAACCCAGTAGTATCTAGAAATCAGACAGAGAGCGTCACAGCCAACCGAATAAACCATATCAGCTCAAGTACAACTTCGTCTCTTACTGTCTTCCTTGGTCTATATAACCTCACGGGTTATAGGAGCAATAACGAATGTCACATGATGAGAGTTCCACCAATCAAATGACAAGGATTTGTATGTCAGTTATATAATGAAAACTAATGACCCCGAGGTGTTGCATGATTGCGACTATCACCCGAGGCGAAGCCGAGGGAGATAGTCCCACTCATCCAACACCGAAGGATCATCTGTTTTCACTATTTCCCCGCAAAAACATGTTGTATTTGTTTTACCATACTTCATAAATATTCATCAGGTAGCCGCGGTATTTCATTGGTCCATCCCACCATGTTTTTGATCGTGCAGTGTTTGGATAAAATGAAACATTATTTTGATTGAAGGAGGCAAACGGAATAGAAGTTAATTTTGTGTCATTCAGCAACTTTAACATTCACACAAAACACTGGATTTATTATTATTGTGTAAACTTTCACCCAGTTCCTCCCAGCTCGGTTAAAATCGCAAAGGGAGCACCACCGATCACCATTTTGATGTATGCCGTAATATACTGGCACAAATGTCCTCACTGGTAAATGGTGATCTCCACGGTACGCATGTAAAGCGCATGCATTGTTGGTAAAGAAATAACACACTAAGCCTACTGGAACAAATGCAACACAGGTGTGTGGTAGTACCTCCCTGGTGTTTGCGCATCACACGCGCATACGAAGACGCGGGGAAATTATAAAAACTTTCCCACAGTTAGGTTGCTGGAATGGACCAATGAAATGCCGTGGTTGCCTGATGAATATTTATGAGGTATAGTAATACTATATAGGCTATGTGTGTGAGTAAAGCCTACTTTTATAGAACTTTTTAACAAATCAGTAACCCACCGCTGTTTCAGCCATTGAGAAAAGCGAAGAACGGTTGTGCGCATGTGCCACTTTTACAGCCAGGTCAAGCAAAATGCATAATTCATGAGCTGTCACCCACGACAAACGGGCCATCAGAAACCGGGTATTTGTAATGAATATTCACATTTTGGGTGGTTAGTTTTATAGAAGGTCATTCATAAGAATGTTCATGATGTCATTAGACCCCCAAAACAAATCGAAAAAAGTTTGACAAGCCTGAAATTCCAACTCAAATACAGAAACTCTGTTTTGACAATCACTGCAAAGGGGTTATTTCAGGACAAAATTGCCAGTCAAAGCAAATTTTCCCAGACTCAAACATCGGTCTGTATAAAAGAACAGGTTGTGATCTCTCTTAATAATGTATTCTGGGAATAGCAAACCCTAAAGAAGTGTTCCAAAAGAAAGGTTTGAATAGTTATTTTTTCAAGCTGAATTGGGTTTTCCGCACCACGTGCGTCGCGGTCTAGTGGGGTACCCAAGTTGATCAGTCCAATCTGTAGCTAAAGGACACATGTGGTCATACGTGGTCCTAGACTACGGATCCAAATGAAGGGTTGCGCGGTGATAACTACATTGTTCGGAAGGCCAAACATTGAGGGAAAAATAAACAAATAAGGAAAAACAAAAATTAGAAAATTTCTAACAATCATATAAACTATTGGATAGTCTTTCAGCTCTTATCTTGTGGTGGCTATTTTTTTTTTTAGGCTGTCCTGGAAAAAAAATACATCCTTTCTTTTATTTTTTGGAGGGGGGTATGCCTATGTGTGGAGCATAGTCTGTTTCTTAGGAATGAATGAAAAAGTTCTTGAATGAAAGGTGGAAAAACACATGAAGACTTCACTACATGTACATAGTTCTGTCTGTGTGGTACAGAAACACAAGAATCCATTTTACAATGAACCATATTTTTATAATTTAAGAAAATCCAACAAATTTTTAAAACATTCTTAGAATTTAAATTTAAAAATACATTATTCCCCAATTATTCAATGATTTGAAATAAGTGGTGATTCAACTCGACTTGAGTCCTAATGCACAGACTCAACTCCAAGGGCGGATCCAGGGGGGCCAAAGGGGGCCATGGCCCCCCCAAAACGAAACCATTTTTTTTTTTATGTGACGTCGCAGTAAAGGCAGGCAATGAGTACACCACCATCTTTTCCTCAAAAAACATTAGTTAAAGTGGTCAGAAATTGCCTCAGATCGCACCACAGAGCATCTAGAATCCCAAAAAAAATTTGACCTACTTTTAGGGGGACCCAAATTTTTTCGGCCCCCCCCCCAAAAAAAATTGTGTTCTGGATGCGCCCTTGCTTGACTCAGGTCACTGCGAGCAAAATGGCCTGACTCAACTTGCGTTCCTCATCAGCGGCACAAAACTGGGCATGGGGATGAACGCATCCCATTAAAAATTATCATCTCTTAGTTAATTCACCTCCCACCCCCCGGTCTAGAAATTTGGCAAACACAGAAAACAATGGCATTCTTACATGTCAGTCCTATAAGTTACTATGGTTATGGACCAGTTTACGTGGCTTCATAGCCACAGTTCCATTTTCTCTGGACTTATGACATGTTCAAAATCCCGGTTGGAACACTTCCACTTATAGTCCTGAAATTTAGCAAGTACTGTTTGTTCATAAAAGTTTATGGGGGTACTTAAGGGCCCCCATCCACACTCAATCCCCTTGGTATTGCTAAGGACTATGCACGGCCCTATGCCATGAGCATTGTGCATGCCTGTTTTATATTGCTCAGAAATAGAGTAAAATTAGGTTTGCTAACTCACCTTCAATGGTATTGGAGAGACAAAGGACCATTCTTCACCCTGAAACTAGACATTTCCGTGGGTTAACTTGCAGGCTATTAGTTTGAGGCCCCTAAAAATCCCCTCGAAGTCGAAAATAAAGCGTACCAAAACCCAAAATATACGGTGACTTTCGGCACTGCCGCTAGCACAACACGAGCTCAAAAATGGCCGATTCAACCACGAATGTAATGCCGAGATCACAACCCACAACTACAGTGCAGTAAGGACATGAATATTCATGATTTTTCCCATAATTATTCTTTTTATTTCTCTCAAGAAGCCCCTCCCAAATTATATATAATTCCATATCCTCTCCACCAACAGAGGGCAGGCTTCACGAAGCAAATATCGCGCACGCGTAGAACAGCATTTCGCGTTGGAAACAGCGGTGACCCAAAAATGGTTAACTGCCTTTCAGCAGATTTTCACCACACCAGGTATGACCGCAGTTGAACTTATATTTGCTTCCAAGAGGAGACTTAAGCCAATTATAAATTGGATTTACTACAGCCATAGCGAAACCACAGTGTTCACTTGACTGTACACGTGAACTAGCAACCATGGTTGGACCAAGTTGTCCTGTGAATGACGTCATGACTGCAGCAGCAAATAAACAAGACTTTGATATACTAGACTTACCATGTTTGTAATAAAAGCAGGGATACTCAGGATCTGGAATCGGACAGTCATATATCTCACCATACATCATCTCAACTTGATGTAAAGTGGCAGTGACATCAAAAACAAGATGTTTACCAGGTGGGCAGCCTAATTGGATACTCAAGCTTTTGCTACCCTGTGATCAAAGAAATAATAAAAATGTAATTGAGGACAGAAGTCAAATCAAGGACGTTTTCGATTAGAAAACAAGTACAAAACCAGTGGGAACTGTTGCATAAAAGTTAGTGTATGAACAAAAGATAGATGAGAAACAATAGGAAACATCAACAATCGTGTGTTGGTTCCTATTATGGGGCAGTAGACACAACGCTCTAAGTTCATTACTCAAGCCACACCACTAACCAAGCTGTGCGTGAACTAATGGAGAGCTACATTGCTAAACAAGACAGATTAGTCACAATCGTCAAAAAGAGAAAACTGCACTGGTTGGACACATGGTCAGATGGAAGCTAGGGGAGTCTCGCAAACACAATCCTGGAGGGTGGGACAGATGGTAGCCGCAAAAGGGGAAGACAGCAGAAAATGTGGGTAGACAACATCAAGGAGTGGACTGGTCTTAATTGGGCACAACTTTCCAGAACAGCAGAAGACCGAAACAAATGGAGGAACTGTGTGACAAATGCCATCATAACGTCCCCCCTACAGCCGTAATGCTATGGGACAGAAGGAAGGAAGGAAGAAGACACAACGGAACAATAGACCCCACAAAGAAGTCTTTAGAAATCTACCTGCCCCATAAGGGAAACGCTATGGAGTTTGATATTTCAATACGAACAAAGAATAACAAAAGAAGGGAAACATAGGTCTTCCCCCAAAGGACCCATACGTGCAACAATGTGTGAAAACGAACAACTCCTGCACACACGCAGGCCAACCTTACATACCTAATGTGGACATTCCTTGTCTTCGTGTAGTTAAGAAAAGCCGGGGAAAAATAATCTTACTTGCACTTTGAATACTCTTTCAATCCAATGTTTTTATCATGATTTCCTTGAATGTTCCTCTTCTTTTGCTACTGATAATCCTTATCCAAAAATGCCTCTAAAACTTTTTCCCATACAGGGGGAAACCTTGTGTGGACCTGGCTGGACCTGTTTTGTTTTCAGGTCCACACAAAGATTGCAAGGTTGGCACACCCATACAAAATACATGTTGCACACACGGGTACATAGGCCAATAGGGCAATCGGACCAATACGTGGCCAATCGTACTGAAACCTGAACTGCCCATACCAATACACGGGCAGTTGGACGATCGGACCACTGGCTTTTGTACCGCGCAACAGCATTCATTTTCTCCATTCACAAACCTGACTCGGTCCATGAACCGCACAAAACGTTGTTGGGAATTTCGCATTGCAATTGGGCGTGACTTAATATGCAATATAACGGTGCTAGCGCATCAGTGGAAAAAAAATAGCTGTTCTGAAAACTGTTAGTCAGGCGGCATACCACACATGTGCAATCTATGACCACGACACCAGTCGGCCGCGCATACGGTTCAGTCTAATCACTGCCACATTAAAATTGATGAAGAGCACATTGCTTTTGAGCAACTTTGCTGCAAAATTGATTGATTCATCCACGCAGTCGACATTTTTGGGCAGGCCGTCACCGCGTTATGATGAAGTTTTTTATTGTTAGGCAAATTAGGACCGAGTTATGGGGACTTTCTGCTGCCCCCACAGTGTCTTTGGTCCCCATAGTGCCATGGGACAACTCGTGTGTAGTCCCCACAACTATGGATGTGTGTTCACGAGTTGTTCGTGTTCACGAGGTGTTCATACCCAGGTATTGGTACACGGGCCAATCGAGCAATCGGAACAGTTCATACACGGGTACACGGGCCAATAGGGCAATTGGGGCAATACGATATGGCAAAGCATACCGACACCTGAACTTCCCATACCAATACACAACAGTTGGGCGATCAGACCACTAGCTTTTGTACAGCGCAGCAGCATATATTTTCCAATTCACAATTGCCCGACTCGGTCCACAAAACGCACAAAACAGTCTTAGGAATTTCGCATTACAATGGGGCGTGACATAATATTGCAAAATTACGGCACATGCTGTCAGAATGACCCCAAGAAGAATTAATTTACGGAAGGGGGAAAGCTTACTTGGTTTACAAAACACAAGTGAAGTTGAGAAAAGGACGACAAAACAAAATCTGACTTGCACTACAAACATTTAATAAAATCCAAGTAATGGTCACGGTCAAAGGCTAAACCAGTCTTCCAGTGCGCACTGAATATATATATATATATATATATATATATATATATATATATATATATATATATATATATATATATATATATATATATATATATATAATATATATATATAATATATATATATATATATATATATATATAATATATATATATATATATATATATATATATATATATATATATATATATATATATATATATATATATATATATAAAATACACAATGCAAAAGACAATATCAATGATCCACAATTCGGGGAAAGATTCTTAACTAATAAATCAGTGGATAGAATCCAAACTCAAAAGGAAACTTTCAAAACCCACTGGCTACAAGACTGCGAATGATGTTCGTACCAAAAAACTCTTCTACTTAAACCCGTCAAGGTTTTGAGATAAAAGAAATTGCAAGTTATAAACACAAAACTATTTATCACTAAATATTGTTCTTTGTAGAGTTTGTCCGGCCAGACTCAGTAAATCAGTTCCGTTTACAGAATACGTTCGTTTTAAAATGAGCCCACCTCAGCGAACGTTCATTTACTCCTGGACTTGCAGGAAAGCCGGTGTTCACTTCACCGTTCGTTGCGGTCCACCGCGCTGGTACTGGGCCTCACTCGGAGCAGTCGACAGGGTTGGTGGCACTCGTACTGGCCTGGGTGTGATAGCCTCAGTGGGGAGTTACGTGCCTCACGTACTTCCGTACTAGTTATAATTGGCCATCTAAATAAAACATTTCTTAAGTTAAATATCTACTCTACTAAAATAACCATATTCTTGGCTACTGCCTCATCAATCAATACCCAAATATGATGTCACGTTGCAGTATTCTTAAAAATTATCATGATAACTCAAACAATAGACTTTCTATACCAAGGGAAATGTAGCAAGCTTTCTCAACAATCAATTAAATACCAAGAAAGAGAAAAAGGAGGTGAAAAATCACTCCTAAAGGCACATACTATACAATAAATCTTGATAGTTCGTAACGTTAAATATGAACACACATATTCCTTTAAGGTACATATTTATCAAAGACTCTCAAACTTTCTTTAATCGGATTTAAGTCATATCCAAAACACATGTCATTCTCTGGGAAAAAGACTAACATAAATTTATATAAATACATGACATTTAAATTAGAAAATAACTGAATACTCACAGTCACAAGAGACTCTTCTGTTCTCTGAAAAAAAACATGGAATGTAGTCTCAATCCATGTGCCCCTCACAAGCAAATAGGTGTAGTGGAGAGCCAATATCTCTCGAAATCACACACAAAAATGGATCGCAATCGAAATTAAAATTGCACTATCCAACAAGTCGAATCGCTGTGGGGCAATAATTGCTAGCAGGCCGCCAGCACTGCTCGAGCTGTCAAGTTTTCTGCCGCACCTAAAGAAAAAAAAAAATCACAACACCACAATGCTCCCAGAAGTCCGTAGGACCAAAAAACCTATCCAAAGTTTCCCGCTACGACAGTACCTTTAACCTTTCTTTGTGACCAAAACCACTCAACCTTGGACCAACAACCAACGTGACTATGACCAACGACGCACACAGACCCAGACATGTACAAGTCATCTATCCACTGAAAAGTTACATCAAAGTTACTCGCAAAAAAAAAAGACTTTGTGTGACACATGCGCATCGGTGGAAACAAAATAGCTGTTCCGAAAACCGTTAGTCAAGTGACGTACCATACACGTGCATCTATGACCACGACACCAGTCGACCGCGTGTACAGTTTGGTCCAATCATTGCCACGTTCAAATCAATGAAGAGCACATTGATTTTTATCAGCTTTGCTGCAAAATCGATTGCTCATCCACATGGTCGACATGTTTTTTATCCAGCAAAGCTTACAGGGTTACTTGCAATCCGTATACACCCGAGGCTTGGAAATATGCAGTATTGTAGCCTACGTGCATAAACCAGACATGCTTACATCACGCACACATGTAAATTCACACACAATACTGCTCAGAATTTCTCGGGCAGAAATACGAAATTCCCAAGACAATGTCCTGTGCAGACTGTTGCCGTGTGTGTTAAGAGCGCCCGCTTCAGTGAATCGCTGCACAGTCCATTAAACCTGAGTGCGCTGAAACATCGCACCGATAGGACGTCTTGGAACCATGAAAAGCAATCCTACCGAAACCTGACCTGCCCATATCAACAAATAGGCAATCATACCACAGACCAATATTTGGGCAATACTGATAGCCATATTGGCAGCCGTCTTATATAATTAGGGAATAACAGTGTGAGGACCCGGTCTTCACTGCGTGATAATGACCGGGGTTGGGGAATGGCTGCTGTTAATAGACCGAGCCAAAGCGGCATAATGTTGTTTTGGAATTAGCAGCTAGGTATCAAAGCCATAAACGCCACCGCCACAGGACAAGTAGCTTGCACCACACGTCCTATATATAGGCGGCTATTTGGAAGCGTATTGGATTTTAAAAAGGAAAGTGGAAGTGGGAGGGAAATAGATAAAAATTGATTCATCAACTACTAACAATTAATGATCTATTTTTTAGCTCACATCCTGAACTTGTAAGTGAAAGTGGTGTCCTACCTGTCCTGATTAGTGATCATTATCTTGTTTACAGTCTTCATAAATGGAAACCCCCCAAAAAAGAAGGCCGTTCAATGAACTTCAGTTTTTTTTTTAAAGATATTGGCAATGACGCTTTTCAAGATGACCTCCTTAATACCCCATGGGAACATGTCCTTAATTGTCATGATGTTAATGAAGCATGGTCCCCATGGCACTCTCTGTTTATGAGTATTATTAACCATCATGCACCAATGAAATCAAAACGTATTTGTGGTGCATCGTTGCCTTGGCTCGATGGGGATTCTAAAACTTATGCGACAGTGAGATCGTGCAAATAAACTCGCTAGACGTTCAGGCTTACCACATGATTGTGAGGCATACAAAAAGGTGCGAAACAAGAGCACTGAAAAAATCCGCAGCAAGAAAAGCGAACACTTTCAATCAACCATCGAGGAAAATAAAGGCAAGTCTTCCATTCTGTGGAAAAAAACTAACAGAGGTTCTCCCCAACAAACAGAAAAGTATTCCAAACTCTATTTTTTACCAAGAATGGGGAATTTGTTAATGATCTCACCGACATTGCTGATACTTTTAACGAAAATTGTTCAACAATCGGAACACGTATGGCCAGTAATGCCCCTCCATGTGAACTTGAAGTGGACAACAATATCCATCCTTTTGTTACAGAATCACTTGATGAAAAATGCTTACTGCCTGAGATTACAGGAGACTATTAGTCAGTGGGCTTATGGTCGAAAATGACCCCCATATGCAATTTCGGGTACATTCTTTGAAACTCTCAGGATCACTAGAGGATACCTCAAGAAGTTCAAAACCACTTGATGCCATTTTTTTCTGACCCTTTTGTGGGCGTGGCCATGATTTTAAATAGTGGGGGGCTTCGCGCGTAAAAAATTATTAAAAAAACTTAATTTTCTTTTTCACATTTGGACAGTTAACTCAAGTGCTACATCAAAAGAAAAAAAATCCACAATTGTGCCTCTTTTGGGGGTGGGGCAACCTTTTAAAAAAAAATGTGGGCACACGTTGCTAACAGAAAATCGACCTGTAACAGGCAATCTTGAGCTTTTTTGTTTTGTTTGTGTATTTGTTACAATCCCTTATAATTTGGTGTGGAAAACATGTTTACATGTCAACTCATAAATTCTTTGGTTCCCATTTGGGGGGCGTGTCACACTTTTTTCATAAAAAGGGGGCATACGTGTATTCCAAAAGGAAGCTTGTGAGAGCCCTTATGGATTGATGGCACATTTTTTCAAACTCTCACAAAGACCTATGGACACCTCAACAAGTGAAAAACTGCTCCACCCTACTTATCTCTCCACCCCCCCCCCCACCCCATTGGCCATTAAAATGACAGCCTTTTTCGATTTTGAAAGTCATTTAAGTTTTGATATAAATCTCCATAACTCAAACTTCAAGAGAGTGGGCTCCAATTTGAGCTAAGCAGAGTTTTGAGTTAGGCAGGGTTGTATATTACTGTTATAGAAGGGAATAAAGTCCTTTTGTACTGTATGGGGAGGAAGGTACACATCTAACGACAATATTCTAAATAAATGTCTGAAAAGAGCTGCTCGGATAATCCTAAAGTGTGCATTTTTAACTCCTTCAGCTGACATGTTTGCTTGTCTTAATTGGATGTCATTTTCTGAAAGAGTTGAGTATAAAAGACTATTCTTGATTACAAATGTATAAACAAAATTACTCCTTTGTATATGACAAATATGTTTACACCACTTATTCAGATTCGTGAAACGAGGCAATCCACTGATATCCGGGCACCGAGGATTCCTTTTGCAAAAAACAATGCTATGCCTCAAGCTTAGCTGTAACTGGTACAATCATATGGAATAATTTGCATGTACAGTTGAGAACCTAATTCAAATCTAACCTCATCAGGGGCGGATCCAGGAATTTTCGCGGGGGGGGGGGGGGGTGGTTAAAACTGGGGGGGGGTCGTACCATATTTCAATATTCAATAGGGGGCGCTGTTCAAATTTGACGATTATTAGCACTAGATTACAAAATGGTGTACCGTATTTTGAACAGGCGGACATTATACCAGTATAATTGTTTTGGGGGTGTCACAGCAGGGGGGTGGGGGTCGACTTATTTTTTAGGAATTTGTATGATTTTTTTTTTTTGACAGAGCTGGGGGGAGGGGTTTCCCCCCCCCCCCCCCCCCCCTCTGGATCCGCGCCTGCTCATTCAAATCTGAACTACGTAAAACGTAAAACGTGCAGTCAGTAACATTTCTGTAAATAATTATGTGAGTATTTTTTGTATTGTCTTCTCTGATAATACAAATCTAAATATGTGCTGTTCTATGGAGTTAACAAACTTGGTTTCCATAATAATAAGGAGCCGGATGGGAATTTCCCTGTGTTTTTCTCCCAAAAAGGGTTTTTCGCGGGTTTTTCTTGATGTCACAAGTTACTAGATCCAAATTCTTTGTGTTCACTGAATTGACCGTACAGTACAGCCTGTTAGCAATGTTGTTTCACACTGTACACGTAGTTATAATAATTTTGCAATATATACTATTCATAATATTTGCTTAACAATTATGCATAAATCCAATAACGCATTTATCCCATTGTATTGTATTGTATCTGTAACGTGTTGTATTTGTATACATGTTTGTAGTCATTTTTTTTATTGTATGCAGGGCCCCAATGAATACCAGTTTTGAACTGGGTAAAGAAATAACATTCAAATTTGTGCAATACATTGTGTATCACAATTGTTGTAGGGCCATTATTGAGCACACATATATGATTTATACATGTAAACATGAAAGCCATATTGGTGGCCACCTTGGATATCTCCATTTCCCCAAAGATCCTGAGGTGGCATCATCCAGGTCTTAAAAGGCCAGGAAACCATCCAAAAACCGTGTGTGGTATTTAGCAACTAGACTAGAACAAAGCAAAGATTTCGTAGGAAATTAACCATTCAATTCATTTTGTGCAAATATGTACACACGTTTGAACTATACAAATTCCATCATCAAATACACAACAGCAATTAAATTAAATATCTATATCTACAACCTTCAAGGCGAGACTGGCGAACCACAAGCAGTCACTCAGATCCGAGAGCAAGAGGGCGCAAACAGAGCTAATTATAAATAAACATATATGGGGCTTAAAGGACAAGAGGAAAGACTTATGACATCAAATAGGATATTGTTCAGAAAGCACTGCCATACTCTAACGTAAACAAGAGCTGTAATTTGTGTATTCATAGCAGGAAAGTTCATAATCATATGCAGGCAAGATCTAGGTACACTAAATAAAAGAAGTGAAATCGTTTCCAAGTGCAGGAATCAAGACAGGTGTGTTCTTACTTCAGCCTTTTGCCATCTATTCATGGTATTTCCTCTGTCATCAGTATATGTTCCCTGTCTCATGTCTGCTTACCATTGTAATGTCTTTCTTTGTCTGTTTGGTGTTTTTTTTTTGGTTTGTTTGTTTGTTTGTCCCGTGTTGTTTCTGTCAGCTGTTTTCCACAAGCTTCTGTTTATTAAAACAGCCCCATGCTCTATTTGCTTCTTTTATTTTGCTATTAATTTGATATTTACTACTTTATTGTTTAACCCTTTTCTCTAAAATTTTGATATATATATTTTTTTCTTCATGAAGCATGGAAATGACGTAAACGTGTACTAACTTCAATGACGTAATGAGGGAAGATGCTACTTGTATTCTATATTCTATGTCATTCTGCTGATAAGTGCCTTACGGTACGAAACAGTCTGTCCAGAAGAGAAAAATATGCCAAAGTTGGATTAACTCATATATATATATATATATATATATCCAATGAAATCGTCTTCTATCACAATTCACAGTGCTCGATACATCTCTGTAGAGCTATAACATGCAATAAATTCAGAATATGAGTTAAACAAACTCATATATATATAGTTAAACAAACTCATAGAAGAGATATATGCCAAAGTTTGTTTAACTCATATTCTGAATTTATTGCATATATATATATATATATATATACATGTATATGCAATAAATTCAGAATATGAGTTAAACAAACTTTGGCATATCTCTCTTCTGAACAGACTGTTTCGTACCATAAGGCACTCATCAGCAGAATGATGAGTGCCTTATGGTACGAAACAGTCTGTTCAGAAGAGAGATATGCCAAAGTTTGTTTAACTCATATTCTGAATTTATTGCATGTTTATAGCTCTACAGAGATGTATCGAGCACTGTGAATTGTGATAGAAGACGATTTCATTGGATATATATATATATATATATCCAATGAAATCGTCTTCTATCATATATATATATATGCAATAAATTCAGAATATGAGTTAAACAAACTTTGGCATATCTCTCTTCTGGACAGACTGTTTCGTACCATAAGGCTCTCATCAGCAGAATGACGAAAAATAGAATCTAAGTAGCATCTTACCTTATTTCGAATCAAGCGCGCGCACGCGTTACGCGCGTTACGACGACATTAAAGTTAGTACGTGTTTACGTCACTGAAGTAAAGAACACATGTCTCGATGCCTGCACTTGGAGACGATTTCGCTTCTCTTATTCAGTGTACCTAGATCTGGCCTACATATGATTATGTACTTCTCTGTTATACACAAATTGCATCTCTTGTTTACGTTAGAGTATGGCAGTGCTTTCTGAACAATGTCCCATTTGATTTCATATTTTTTTCCCTCGTCCTTTAAGTCCCATATATGAGACAGATGTGTTCTTACTTCAGTGACGTAAACGCGTACTAACTTCAATGACGTAACGCGCGTAACGCGTGCGTGCGCTTGATTCGAAATAAGGTAAGTTGCTACTTGTATTCTATTTTTTGTCATTCTGCTGATGAGTGCCTTATGGTACGAAACAGTCTGTCCAGAAGAGAGATATGCCAAAGTTTGTTTAACTCATATTCGGAATTTATTGCATGGTTATAGCTCTACAGAGATGTATCAAGCACTGTGAATTGTGATAGAAGACGATTTCATTGGATATACTAGCTCCTATTTTTATAGTTGAGCACTCTCCTGACGTCGCACTTCAAAGTGGAAAGAGTGAACTTTGAATATTCGACGAAGAATATTCCGGTAGCATCGAGAACAACATACCTCAAGCGCCTGATCGAGAAAACGGAAATGTTCATCAAAAGGATTAGATGGAGATCATTCTTCTTTCTGAATCTGGAGCTGAACAAAGACAAGGCGGAGAAGGAGGAAACGTACGGATTTAACTCGCGGAAAACACCACCAGTCATCCCGGAACTGAGAGAATTCGAAGACAATTTGGTGAGTCTGATTCAAAACGTCGAATTTGAGAAGACCACTAGCCAGTTCCAATGCAAATTGAACGAAGACATAAATACGATTAGTAACGATAAGCTGACCGTCAAGGCTGATAAGACTACAAATTATTACAAGATGGAAAAAGATGACTATGTAAATCTTGTCAGGGCGAATGTCACCAAAACATACAAGAAAACCGAGCAAAAGGAAGTAGTGGATATCAATCGCGAAGCGAAAAGAATTGCTAAAAGTCTTGGACTGGGCAACCGCATAGATAAACTGGCCGAGAGGGAAGTCTTCATTACTTTAAAGGACCACAAGGACAACTTCGGTAACAAACCATCATGTCGACTGATTAGCCCAACCAAAATCAGAGATAGGACATATAAGTAAAGTGATCCTTGACAGAATCGTTGGTAAAGTCATAAGCGTGACGGGATTCAACCTGTGGAAAAGCACGGACGCCGTACTGGACTGGTATAAAAAAAATCCCAAGCAAGCAAGAATCGAGCTTCATAAATTTCGACATTGTGGAGTTCTACCCCTCAATAACGGAAAAGCTTCTCCTGAAAGCCCTAGGGTTCGCGGAAAACTACAAGAACATTAGCAGCAAGGAGAAAGATATCATCATCCACGCGAAACAGACAGTGGTATTCAACGACCAGGTACCGTGGAAAAAGCGTAATACAGACAGCAAATTCGATGTCACGATGGGCAGTTTCGACGGCGCGGAGTCATGCGAGCTGGTCGTAGCATATATGCTGTCGATCCTGAAACCAAAGTACGGAAATAGAGTGGGACTATACAGGGACGACGGTCTGGCAGTATTCAAAGAGACACCCCCCCCCCCCCAGAAAATAGAAAACATCAAGAAGGAAATATGCCAAGTATTCCGGGAAAATGACTTAAAGGTAACGATCGAAGCCAACAAGGCAACAGTAAACTTCCTTGACGTCACATTAGACCTGCAAACGGGAGGGTACAAGCCATACATGAAACCAGGTAATGTACCTCTCTATGT